ATCCTTACCTTCTCCGGTTGTCATAGAGCAAGTGTCTCTTCAATTCACACAGAGACTGCAAATACAACAAAGCTCTAGCTTCTTTTTTTTTTTTACAGTCTCTCTCTCGGGTCTCCGCCTCTCCCTCCCTTTCCCTTCCTGCTGCTGTGGTCTTGTGACTTCACCAAAGACAAAAGCCACCCAACTCTTTTAAATAAAGGACGTAGAAAGCATTTCCCTGTAAAGAATTAATGTAATGTACAAACAATGTATCTGGGGCCATTTGCTTGTCCTTTACTTTGCTACCCCTTCATCTTTTTTGAGTTTATGTTCACAGGACTTGAATCATCTTTCTTACACCAACTAAAATCCTGACACAGGAAAGAGACTCTGGATACTCTGGCCCTCACACAAACAGATTTACACAATATATTAGCAGTGCAAATGAAAGACATTTCCTATTATATAATGCTATTAATATTTGTGCAGAGACAGCACTTATTAAAAAAGGTGCTGTGCTGCAATTGCTGCATCTACAAGCTTTCAACTTCAGCTTTCAGTTATGTTGCACAACATGCGTTAAAGGTATAGTTCACCTTCAGTTGCTGGTCCCCACTTACTTCCATAGAATGGAAAAAAAAACTCTTTGCAAGTCAATGGGGACCAGCAACTGAAGGTGAACTATCCCTTTAAGTCAGCTTTCACAGTTCTGTCAGACAAACGCATTAAGACAGCTTTCAGTAACTATAGTCTGTCGCTCAGACACGTGTTAAGTCAGCTTTCAGTCACTATATAGTCTGCTGCACAGACACGTGTTAAGTCAGCTTTCAGTCACTATAGTCTGTCGCTCAGACACGTGTTAAGTTAGCTTTCAGTCACTATATAGTCTGCTGCACAGACACGTGTTAAGTCAGCTTTCAGTCACTATATAGTCTGTCTCACAGACACGTGTTAAGTCAGCTTTCAGTCACTATAGTCTGCTGCACAGACACGTGTTAAGTCAGCTTTCAGTCCCTATATAGTCTGTCGCACAGACACGTGTTAAGTCAGTCAGCTTTCAGTCACTATATAGTCTGTCGCACAGACATGTGTTAAGTCAGCTTTCAGTCTGTCGCACAGACACTTCGCTTTAATCGCTTCTACTTCGGAGCCAGACACACTGAAGGTGAACTATCCCTTTAAGTCAGCTTTCACAGTTCTGTCAGACAAACGCATTAAGACAGCTTTCAGTAACTATAGTCTGTCGCTCAGACACGTGTTAAGTTAGCTTTCAGTCACTATATAGTCTGCTGCACAGACACGTGTTAAGTCAGCTTTCAGTCACTATATAGTCTGCTGCACAGACACGTGTTAAGTCAGCTTTCAGTCACTATAGTCTGTCGCTCAGACACGTGTTAAGTTAGCTTTCAGTCACTATATAGTCTGCTGCACAGACACGTGTTAAGTCAGCTTTCAGTCACTATATAGTCTGTCTCACAGACACGTGTTAAGTCAGCTTTCAGTCACTATAGTCTGCTGCACAGACACGTGTTAAGTCAGCTTTCAGTCACTATATAGTCTGTCGCACAGACACGTGTTAAGTCAGTCAGCTTTCAGTCACTATATAGTCTGTCGCACAGACATGTGTTAAGTCAGCTTTCAGTCTGTCGCACAGACACTTCTACTTCGGAGCCAGACACAAAAATTTAAACTGTCGCACAGATACTCGCTAAGATAGCCTTCTAGTTCATCATAAACACTCACAGGACAGCTTTCAAACAGATGAAAGAATTTTGTTCCCCACACGAATTTCACTTCAGATTCTTATACTCACAATTCACCGCATTGACCAGTATAAGCGGCTTGATTTGGAAGTGACTTCAGAACAATTCAGTCGAGATCAGCCCTCCCTTCATGAAGGAGTGTGACATCAGTAAGATCAAGCATCTTCATCACATCTGTATATACTTCACTCCTTTAATCTGAATGTGTCTTCATAAGCTAAGCTAAGTTTTTCTTTTATGCTCATGCTTAAACGTTAACAGGTTATTGGCAACGTGCTTGTTACCAAGTCATTATTGGAACATATACTGTTTAACACAAAATTGTGTTTATCATTGGAACGTTTTAGTTTGACTAAGCTAGTTTTAGGAAACGTGCTCTTGATCAAAGCTTTTGTATATTATTGGAAACATACCTGTTGCTCAGGCTTGGTTATTGCCAATACACTTAATCAGTTCTACAGGGGTGCTTGAGGGTGCCAAGCACACTAATGCTAGTGTGATGTTATTTTATGCTAGCACATCTATAATCAGTCCTTCAAAGTTTGCAGTTAAGGAGACAAAGATCTTTAAGTAAGTTAACCATTATTCTCCATTTGACCATTATACTCCACCGTTATACTAATTTCACCGTTATACTCCAATTGAGCATCATTCTCCCCTCTCATGGACTACTACATTTTAATAGCCTCACCAATTGCCTTACCAGAGAACAGCATTCCCGATTATAATTGAAATATGCTATCTCCGCTGTGCTGAGACAAGAGAACATCCACAAAAGTTGCTGTGCTCCCTGATTGATCTTAGAATTAACATACTACGTCATTGTGTTGGGGGTTTCAAACCTCAGTGAGGTTTGTTTGTGGACAGCTCAGAACCTGAACCCTTCAGAGCAAAGCCTGCCGCCAAAATAATATTCAGGACCTTAATCGTAGTCAACAGAGTGGTCCTAACTGAACTCTAGTTTGAGTGACAAATAAAGCTCAAATGTAGTTCAAGCAGACTACGGTGTGACAGCCAGCATCAGCTGATGCTCACTCCTCCCATTACAATTAAATAAGATATAAAAGTTAATCTTTACTCACACTTGCCTTAGTCTTTCGCACAGACATGCGCTTACCCTCCTCCATCCCCAACTCCTCCTTTTACAGGCACATGATCACTTAGCGTCTTTTCCATGGAAATCATCCATCAGTTAATCGTTGCTTTATCTGGTCCAGTCTTATTTACAGACCTGTATCACTTCTGCATGGAATTTTATATTATAGAAAGAAAACTTCTGGTAATCAGACAGAAACCAACATTACTTGGAAATCTCTGATTACGGCTTCTAATCACAGTGTATCTAAATCAGTGTCTGCCTAAAGCACACTCATACCATGGGTTATCATTTGTAAAACTCTCACGGTTCCAATACGGCAGCAACAAGGTTCATGACAAATGACTTTATATGGAGCAGCATGAACCAAGGATCACATCAAAGCTTTTCAATTTCAAAATCAGCATGATATTATTCCATTAAATAAATCAAAATTCAGAAAAAGATAACTAAGTAAGTCCCTTTGAATCTAAAGTCAGACAAACACACAAAGTGATTTTCTCAAAGCACTGCAGCATACAACGTGAAGAGTATCGCTCGCTCACTGTCTCTCCCTCTCTGTCAGGTGTAATTCTAAAGCTGACCCTCACCCTAAAAATTATGATAGATTCATGTTTTATCTCAATATATTACCTCTGCCTGATTTCATTGACAGTTCAACCAGATTTACAAAGAAAGTCAAAGAGACGATCACCCAAATAAACAGATATTTCATTTTTAGTAAAATGACAAAAAAATCCTTATACCACAGATGCTGTTTTCAACCACCCACTGAAATGCAAAATGAGCCCAAATCCTGCGATATAATCTGCACAGGGTCACAGGGGAGAACAGGAGGAAGAGGTGAAGGAGAGGGGGACTCAGACCTCACTAATTCTGTATTTTAAACAAACACGCTTCATAGACTTTAACACTTATAGATCTGCAACTGTCATGCCAAAACCTTCCTGATACATAAAGCCTGATCAAAAAGGCCTTTTAGGCTATCATAGTGTACCTATGATCATTTTTAGTAAAATGACAAAAAAATCCTTATACCACAGATGCTGTTTTCAACCACCCACTGAAATGCAAAATGAGCCCAAATCCTGCGATATAATCTGCACAGGGTCACAGGGGAGAACAGGAGGAAGAGGTGAAGGAGAGGGGGACTCAGACCTCACTAATTCTGTATTTTAAACAAACACGCTTCATAGACTAACACTTATAGATCTGCAACTGTCATGCCAAAACCTTCCTGATACATAAAGCCTGATCAAAAAGGCCTTTTAGGCTATCATAGTGTACCTGATCAGGTCAATACAGTCATTCTTAAACAGTACTTATAATATACCAATAATATAGTACATTATATATCATACAGTTTGTGTGGGTATTATTGACCATACCGTATTTTTTTTCTGTTGTGATGCTTAAAGTAATAATTAACAAATTCCCTAGGACAGGGTTTGCCAAACTGAGGTTCATGAGTTAATTAAAAGCTAATGATTAATTGAATAATAAAAATGTAAAATTAAAACAAATAAATAATCTTTTAATCTCATTTAATAATCATCAGAGTACTGTAAACATGCAAATGCGTTGTTGAAATATTAATTTACAATTTCAGGAAGTACTTCAAGTCAGTATTTAGAACGAACAGGTTCAGCTGACCAAAAAAAGTCTGGGAATCCCTGCCCTAGGACATCATTATAAGATGCAAAGAGAAAATAGTTCCAAAACCTTGTAAGCTGCCTATGTAGACAGCATTTTAAGGCATTACAGGCATGCTTTCGACATGAAAGGTAGTTAGATACCTTTTACTATATTAAAGTAGCATCACATGTATCCTATACAGAAAAGGAAATCCCATAATGCACCGTGATAAGCTCAGTGAATAAAATTAATCCAAGATGGTGGATAATGCAAGAGAAATGTTGATAACAAATATAATCCTTCAATCCCCAAAAGCATAGATTAAAATAGCAGTTCAATCTAATTTTAAAAAATGTTCAACAAGGTGTCTACATAAAGTGAAACAAATGGGTCACTTTTGAGGTTAGGATGATGTACAGAGTGGAACTAGGTTTTGGAAGACAGCCAGGGTAAACATCCAAGCTATGATGTTTAAAAGTCTGTTCGGACATTTGAATTCTTGGAATTTCTAAACATATAGATCCTACCTGAACCTGAGGAGAGGATTATGTTCCCAGATCTTTGGACTTCATCAAATTTGCTGAAAATTACATTCAACCTGTAAAAAAACAAAACAAGAATAAATTAATCTAAAGTTAAAGATTGCTCAGTTACAGACAAACAATATCTAGACCTTCAGAGCAGTAACTCTGGAAATGTGACCCCTGGTGTACACAAAACAATCCTCAGAAACAGGTGTTGCAAATCTAACAAAAAAAGGCTCTCAGCAAGCAGGGTAAATATCTATTAAATGGAAATACCTTTTACTCAGTCACTCCCTTTGTCCTGAGATACCACCTGACCACACTACACTACTATTTAACAAACGCTTAGACTATTAGCTATGGACATAATGACATAATGACCTAACTCATAAACTATGGACACAACAGGCAGTAAAGTACTTGGTTGCTTAACATGTCGGTAGGCAGTCTAAATGTGCGGTTAAAGGCCAGAACAAGCTACAATGAGGACCAGACTATTTGCCGTTAGCCATAAGTCTGGCTGAGCGAGACTGGCTGTGATGTAACAGTTGATGTGTCACATTACAGCATGGATGATTTTGTGATCCTGTCAGTGTAACGCAAGCTTTGCACCAACTATATCTGATGCCAAAGCAGATCTGCAAATCCAAAGGTAAGTGTAATCCATGTCAGGGCTCGATAATAAAGACTGCCCGATGGCCCGGGGCCAGCGTGAAAGACGTTTGGGACAGTAGATGGATTTGTCACTTGCCCGATCGGGCCACTGAAGCGTCGTCACGACTTATCATTTGCATGTGTTTTTAAGACTTGTTAATTTAAAAATTCAAGCGATTAAAAAGCATTTGGGCATGAAAGACAACTACATTCAGTACTCTCGCGTTATGTTCTGTGTGAACAGCGCGCGCACAGACAGCCGTATGAGCCGCCTGAACGGGCAAATACATACAAATGTATGTCAAAATACCCGCCCTGGCAAGTAACTTTGTAGCTTTAACATTGATTAATTTATATTTAATTTATACACTGGAGCATGTTATAGATGCACTGATGTACCGGACATTTTTTGTTTTATTTCAGACTATCTTCTGTTCCGTGCTTGCACACAAACTACACTGCAATAATTTTTCCAATGGCCATTTGTGTGGAAATATTACGTTATTATTATACTTAGTCTGTAAACGGGCGTTAACAGAGGCCACTGTTCACGATGCGCGAAATATAGCAAGAAAATCCAAATATTGAATTTTATATGAATGTGTTTCTTAAGGGAACGGAACTGACTGTTTTCAGAAATGGCGTTTTCTTTTAATTTTGTCTCCGTATGATGCATTTAAATTAGTGTTAATGGTTAATACGTGCAGCGCTGCTGTGTTTACAGCTGTAACCAAGGAAATGCTGTATCACTGTACCATAAGCGTGGTCTGCTGTCAGAGAGTGAATCTGCGTCTCATTCAGCCCACCTGCTGTTTCTGTTTCGTGCAGATGTTTTATGTAGCATAATTTCACAAATCTAAAAATCAGGTTATTCTGTTTTTGCTTCAGATTTTGAAATTATACGGTCTAATATAAATCAAACATTGCACTTTTTTCAATTCATGATTAAAATGCAGTGGTTGCCTCTAATTTCAAATGGCTATGAAAAATCAAGGTGCAACACAGAGTGAAGAATATGCAAATGTTATTTTATATGTGATTTTTCCATTTCTGTACCCGAACATCTACAAACATAAAAACCTAAAGCATCATTTAATTTCTATTTTTGTGCTATAGGCCTATATTTAATTGTGCTATTACTTGTAATTTGTTAATTTGTTCTTATTTACCGGCTGTCACTTGTCTTTAATGTTTAAACGTTATATTTATGTTTATTTTTGGCTAGTGATTTTTGCTGTGGTATCGAAATTCAAATCAAAATTTAATTGGTATCTAAAATATTGGTGTCATATAAGCTTATTTATTAGAATACAAGATAACAGATCAAAAACAATGATAACAGCAACTATTTTATTTTTTGTGGCAGGGCCAGTGAAAATGTTGACCAGGCAAGTAAAAATTTTAACCACTGATCCGACTTAGCGTTGATCCCTGCATGTGCAAAGAGGTTAGCAAATCATAACAGAGGAAATTAACAGGTCTTAAAGGTATAGCAGCAAAAAAAAAAAACTTCTTTAAAGGACAAAGAGATAGTTGTCAACAACAATACTGTTATTCGATGAAAGAAACATCGTAAATGGATCAAAGGAAAAAATAATTTTAATTATAGAATGGCCTCTTCAATGAAGCAATAATTTTCGAAACACTTAAGCATCCTCAAATGACAGCAAATCACTTGGAGAACATCTGAAACTGAACCATGTAGCGCTGCTCCCTGAAACTCCTCCCACTGCATAATCACAAAGCTGAGGTTGTTTTCTTCCTGTACAACCCTCTGAGAATCCTTCATCCTTTACATCCCTCTCAGAAGATTGTCTATGCGAGTCAGAGGCAGTTCCCCAGAGCCCTGAGCATCAAAGCCAATTCATCGTCATGTTCTCAGCTCCCTGTGAGGGGATTTTGCCATGCTGAATCTGTATGGGCTACCACATTTCTCTGCCTTACAGTGTGGCAGAGAATCATTTTAGGTCATAAATAGGGCTGAGTGATAAAATGAATACTCAAAATTTGCATTTATGATATTGTGAAAATTGTGATGATGTTAATGTTCAAAGCTCTAACCGGCAAAGTCATTAAATTCTAACTAGGACAAGTAAAGCCTTGTAATATTTATGGTTAAGAGGATGTTGTTTCCTACAATCATGCTATTAGGATTTCATTTTAAATGAGGGCATCCCTGCTGACAACCACTGACAAATGCAAACATTTAATCCTACAAGTCCATCACTTCTGCTTTACCAAGTGCAACACAACAGAATTTTGAATTGCAAATGAGACGGGATGCCTTTTCTGCAGTTTGAGAAATGGGAAATGCTTTTTGCTAAACCCTTATGCACTACAGTGTTCAAAAGAGATTTCTTTCTCTATTCACTTCATCCATGCAAACTGACTGTGTGCCTCTAAATTAAGCTGTGAAGATTTGAATTTTACAGATACATCCATGCCAGTCCGAGAAAAAATAGCAGGGCTGAAAAACTGTCATGCTGTCAGTGTGCTTAAGACTCAACCTGGATATTGAACATTTGGAAAATTAAAACTTTGTTGTGCACACTTAATTTATGATAAATATGAGCTTTCGAGAGAAATAAACGAGGGTTCAATACTTTCATAGATCCCTCCAAGGCCCATTTTAATTTGTGTGGTTATCATTTATAGTAACAGGATTTGGTCTAGTCCCAAAGAATTTGGGTACAGATGCACATGAAGCCAACTGAGAAGGCAGCATGGAAATTATATTAATCTAATAAAATCAAATATAATGAGTACAGCCCTCGGAAGTGGAAATGAATTAGCATTAGCTTAAAATATTTTCATATGACCCAAATTATTGTCTTAAGATCTGACGAATTAACTCAAAAATACTGGAGCTGCAGTACACATACAGTACTTGAGCCTTGATGCTCACAAACGAGTTGCCGGTTTGTCGTTGTGTCCGAAGTCACAGCAAACTGTTTTCCCCAGGCATGTTCCAATTGAGCCTGCTCTCAAAAGTCTTAAAACTATAACCACTGAGAAGATCAGAGAAACAGATGCCTGCATGGGTCCTGGAGACATGCACAGATTTTAAGTGGGAGGGACGCCTAACAGATGTTACAACCAAATTCAGACCACAAGCAAATGCTGGCATGCCTTCCTCCTCTCCATGCACTCAACTCTTGCTGTGCAGTATCATGGTTGGATGCTTTTTTTTTGTAGGATCAAACCAATAGAGCAAAACATCTGAGACTGGCGCTATGAATTCCACACTTTTCTGAATTCTAAATCACCAAATCAGGAGGTTTAAGCTTAATTACATATTAGGCTGTGTGCTCTGAGCACATAATATTAGCTGCTAAAAGCATATTAGTCTCAAGTTAGAGGGCAGAGTCAGATTCTGGGTCCGGAGGAAAATTAAGACCTAATGACCTGTATGAATAGCCACTTTAGCCTCTTAAGGGAATAAGAATCATTACAGCACTAACAGAGACTGGTTCATGAATGTTTTCACTCTGTTTAGAAACACTTATTAATGGGGAAAACCAGCTGTCTAGATTTATCAATGCTTGATAGAAGTAAATGAACACATGCAGCGAATACCAAGAGGGAAAAAATACCTTCAAAACATCCAGTTAAGTCCAAAATTAGACAAAAATCCACCTGAATTAGAAAAGACCCTGGGAGTGTCCTGAAAACGCTAATATTCTAGATGTAAAGCTGATGCATTGTCTGTGAACTGGTACAAAATTAGGAAAAAGGAAGAGCTTACCTTGATTGCGGCAGTCCTTTTTTGCTAAGGTCAATTCTAACCTTCTCTCCAACATGTCTGTATATTTCCACAAGGCAGTTCATAGCCGCATCCCGAACCTGGGCAGATAATTGGACAACAGTTTCATAATTTCACTCATTCAGGTCTCTAACCTGTGCTCCCGTGGAAGCTTTATATGGAAATATTTTTTCCATATTTTATTTTTTAAAATGTAAATGTTTTAGAAGGACAAAAAAAGCAACTACATTGCTACTTATATGTTTATTCTGAATGTTTTCCACGGCATCTGTTAACAATATTCATTCATATTGTAAAATGTATGTTTATTTAATAAAAACCAATGTACACTGTCATATTTCCATCAACTCCATATCCAAAACCACCAGCAGAGGTCACTATAGCTTTGTGAAATGTTGCTACCTTCATCTACTGTTCTGTAAAAAAAAGCCATGTCACACAGATCAGTTTAATCTTGAACGTTTTAGATAACAACAAATGCGCATACCTGACTTGTGGGGTCTCCGAGTAGATTACATATATGTGGTACAATTTTGCTCAGGGTTAAGCCTTGGGCACCGTATCTGAAAAACATAAGCGATGGTGACAGAGAGGACAGCATTAGTGCATCATGGGGGGTTGTGGTAACTTTGCCAACTTCAGCTTTAATGGGTTATCCTTGAAGAATGTGCTGCATCATTTTCATTTTCATAGCTTAATATCTCTATTCAGCAGAGAAATTCAACTGCAAGTGGAAATTTTAAACATAAACGTCAGTGTAAGTTGCGTTTATGATGAATGAAAACTACAATATCCAGACTGAGAGGACAATGGGACTTACATGTTCAGAGTTGAGATGAGACAGAGACAGACTCCCTCTCTGGTCCGGTTGTTTTTGTGTTTGAAACCCCCCAACATTCGGTCCCATATGTACTGTGAAGACAATCCAAATGTAATACTTTCAATCTAATACAATTAAATGGCAGCTAATCGCATTATGAGACCTCCCATCAGCCTTTTCATGGAGCGAAGAGTTCAATACATTAACTAAATGAAATCCTGTTTAAAATACCACAAAGGCATCTCGCAAGGGTACTTCTGAGTGGAGCAGGTAGTTCAGATCTTACATTACAAATACCGTTTAGGCTGTCATGATATTTTAACACAAAGACAAAATACAGAGATGTCTGTTTGTGGACATAATGCACTGTGTTCACACAACAGGACTGCAGTGTTAGCTTTAGAATGGATTGAACGTCCTGGAATTAATATTTAGGCTAAATAAAGACAAATACTACCTGAGGAGTAGCTGACTGCTCCATGATCTTCAGCAGCAGGGTTTGATCTTGGTCTCTGACTTGATCTTTGGCATCGCCTAACCGATCTATCAAGCTGGGTAAAACTGGGGATGGACAAAGATTAGATATTAGGGATGTGCAAAACTATTTTCATTACTGATTAGTCAACTAGATGGAAGCTTCGAATCATTTGAGACTAGGGATGCACGATATATCGGCCACCATATCGGTATCGGCCCATATCGGGTCATTTTTTCTGTTATCGGTATCGGCCTGATAAGAAAATTTGGCCGATATCTTAAAGCCGATAAATAATGCATTATTTCCTTCAGAGACACTTCAGATGCGCGCTGTTCGTTTGCAGCCTTTTGTGCAATTGTACATTGTAATATTGTGTTTATTTGATGTATATCTGATTTATCTCATATAGAATGCGTTTGGTTAAGTTAAAAGAGCGCTTCAGTTTACCGGTGATCATCTTTAGCTCAGCACACGCAGCTCAAACAGCAGTGCACAACATTAATAACTATGATTGGGAATGTCGTGTATATAACATTCTAATGAGAACATTATTATAATAAAACGTTGTGAATTCTTTGGGTTTAGTTGCCGTGTTTCAGCGCGTTGTTATGGGAAGAGCGCATCCACAACAGGATCACACATTCTGACTATAGCATGCAATAACTGCGTCATTTTGTACATATATAAGTTGTAATATTATGTTTATGTTGTATTAATATTAATCTCAGGATGCATTTCCTTGAGTTAAATAAGCTGCCAGCAAAACGCTTCAGTTTACCGTGTTCATTCAGCTCTTCAGCTTCAGCACGCGCAGCTCAACGGCTGCTATTTAAAACAGTGGTATTAATTTGTTACTTTTTCAAAATCATTGATATATTATTAATAACAACAACCACTTGTATTTTTCTCTTATTATTTTCATCAACAATATGGTTTAGTAATTAAAATAATTTAATTATTGTCCGTGCAGAGGCTATTCCGTTTTATTGATCTATGGCGCATTCATTTTGATTCTTTACACGTGTAATGATGTCCAGTGACTTGTTTGCATTATTTATGCATAATTTTATTTATTTGTAAGACTTTTTTATAACTAAATTTGGTAATGGGAGAGTAAAAATATTTTTAAAACGTACACCGTTCAAACTAGGCTGCTTATGTTGAAGTGTTTGGGATGTGGCTTTTAATGATGAGACCTTTTTTGTAATCAGGCTCTCAAAAAGTATATAACAATTTGGATATAGATTTATCGGCCAACATATCGGTTATCGGCTTTCAAAAATAAAGAATAATCGGTTATCGGTATCGGCCAAAATTTTCATATCGGTGCATCCCTATTTGAGACTGAAGACCTTCAGATTATGTAATAACGGGAACATTTCTCACATGAATGCAGTGAATTTGTTACAAAAGCAGTGTTTGATGACTGCAGCAGTGATGCTTTCAAGCAGATGAATTTTAAGAAGCAACTTCTCAGAGGGTTTCAGTGTATGCTGACAGTTCATTTAAAGCATAACACTGTCAGCAAACTCAAACCTTCTGCAGGAAGTTGTATCTCTTCATTTGTCCCCTTTAAAGCACCACTGCTTAAAAAGTGATAAAAAAAAATCTTTAAAAATGTTCTTCAGATAAACTATAACATGAAAATAAAGTGTTTTCATGTTAAAGTGAGATTTTTTTTTACACATATAAGATAAGATATTAATATTCCTACCTGTACCAACTTGGGGCCGAAATCGGTCCTGTAATCTCGTCACTAAGGCAGAAAGCAGGTCCATTCCCAACAAAGCCAACTGAAAGTGAAAAATAAATAAATTAAACTGAGACAAAAAAAACAAAAAGTGTATTATATGTGTGCATTTTTATTCAATTTAAATGTGTGTGTTGTTACAATACACAAAATCTTGAATTATCTTTAAAAATCTTTAAGTAACTGCACACTGTCATTGTCAATTCAAAGTAGGCTATTACAAAGAACAAAGTAAGAAGGTACAATTAATGAAATGGCCGCCCCTCTCCCAAACTGAATGAGCAGAGCAGAGGATTATGGGTAACAAATAGGGCATCTGAGTCTGAACAAGCAATGCAACTGACTATGGATAACAGACAAATTTCAGCTGAATCCAAAATAACATATCACAAGTATGAATACTAGTACTAGAAATACTACACATTCACATACTACTTAAGATTAGCATACTTATGTTACTCCAAACGAGTAGTGCAAAGGATTATGGGTAAATCCCTAACATCTTATTTATTTTTCTCCTTTCTCAGCCTTTTTTGACATCGCAGCCACAGTAGTTCCTTTCCAGTAAAGTTCATTACACATTTAAACAAATTTCACTTCAATGGTCAACAAAATGGTCTCTCTATTCATTTCTGCCATATGTACAGTGACTGACAGTCACCACTGATAAGATACCACTAAATATTGTAGAAACTTAATTTGCTGTAAAGTTGCTTTGCAATGATTTGTATCGTGAAAAGCGCTGTACAAATAAACTTGAATTGAATTGAATTGAATTCCAACCATCACGAGAAGATCGGCACAGAACAAACATACTGCAAATGCTCCGCCCAACTACTTAACTTTCCTTGTCATGGGGTTGAGGACTGTTCAATGAGCGTATAGTGAGAGCAGGCCTGCTAACACCATATCAACACAATCGCATCACCTGACTTCTAGAAGACAGATAATGGTGCAATTTTTGGAAATCCTCACATTTAAAGTTAATCTCCTGTCATTTGTTTAATCCTGCCCTTTTGATTTATTTTACATATGTATTTAAGCAGCTGGGTTTGACTCTAATATATCTACTATAACAAAGTCCTGATCCTTTGTTCTCACCCATACAGAAAATGGCTAATTATGCTGGTGACACCCAGGACTGAGACACAGATAAACCACATCAGCTGAGGAGAGTATTAAATGCCTTAGAGGAGGTGCAAAAAAGGCAAGTCGTATCATGAGGCACTGGGTAGCACACAGCTGATTTCTTTGCTGTCCTCCTTAATGCACACATTCTCACAGATGGGAACAGATTTAGCCATTTTCTACTATATATACCATTAAAAAATTTGGGGTCAGGAAGTCATTTTTTAAAATATATTAATACTTTTATTCAGCAAGGATGCATTAAACTGATCAAACGTGACAGTAAAAGCATTTTTAATCTTACAAAAGGTTTCTATTTCAAATCAGTGCTGTTCTTTTGAACTTTCTATTTATCATTGAATCCTGCAAAAATGTATCACGGTGGCAACTGTTTTCAAAATAATAATAGTAATGATAATAATAAGAAGAAATGTTTCTTGATCACCAAATCGGCATATCAGAATGATTTCTGAAGGATCATATGACACTGAAGACTGGAGTAATGGCTGATGAAAATTCAGCTGTGTCATCACAAGAATAAATTACATTTTATTAAAATAGAAAACAGTAGAAAACAAAACTGTAATAATATTTCACAATATTAATGTTTTTTTTCTGTATTTTTCATCAAAGAGTTGTAAGCCCGCCTCTTCCCTATGTGCAATCCAAACCATCTTCTCACCAGCAACCTCCTGCTTCAGACCATCTTAGGCTGCCAAATTTAAACATACACTATCCCGCTATTTATATCTCTCCTATCCACCACAGTCAAAGAAAAGATTCAAGGACTATTGTTCTCCTTTCTGAGCTTTTGTTTCATCTCTCTGTGCTTTCTTTTGCTTCATTCCTTCCTCTGTTTCCTTGTTAATGGCTGATAGGAAATACACAGGAGTGTGATCGATCATTCCAGCTTCTGCTCCAGGCTCAAATCAATACCAAAATAAACTATTACATAAGTCTATGCAGACTCCGTCACACCTGGCTAGACAAACGGTGAATAGCAGGAGAGAGGAGGCATGTAGCTGTCAGAACACACTAACGAGACAGATCTGTTTCATGGATATGTGCTCATTCCCCTGGTTTCGTCATCTTCAACAATTCATACCACCTTGCTAATCAGTCCAACAGCGCCTGTACATTCCTCACTAAGACAGTGGAGCTCAACCTTTTTTAGTGCATGGCCCATTTTAAAAGGGGTCATTGTCATGAGGAATCAGATTTTTCTTTATAGTAAATTGCAATTCAATTTTTTTTTTTTTATTCCAAAACGGAGCTTTTCAGTCAGAGGGTCAAATGTATCATTAAATTAACGGTTTCATCTACTTAAAAAAAATACTGAATGTTACAGACAACAAATTACATTTTTATTTCACTGGTCAACTTTATTATTATTGACTTTTCTTTTTAGTATCTTGCACCCTGAAAGCCCTGTTATGAAAGTAAAAACTCATTCTGCATGAATGTCTAACTTGGATCAATAATTGTTTCCTATGAAAACAAAGGTTCTGAATCATCAAGTTCACCTTTACATCTGGTTTGTTATAGCCTACATTTCCTGCAATATTTTAAGCCCAAGACAAACTGCATTTTTTATACACCTCCGTTAAGATTGTTGTGACATGCTTTTCAGGATTCGTTGAATAGAAACTTCAAAATCACATCATTTATTTGAAATGGAAATTTTTGTATCATTCTAAATGTCTTTATTGTAATTTTAGATCAATTGAATGCATCCTTGCTGAATAAAGATATTGATTTCTATCCCCAAAAAAGAACATACAGAAACTAGAACTATAAAAATTATGTGATAAAAAATGGGAAAACCCACAAATAAGATCCAACTCTATATGCAAACCCAAGGTGGAAAACCTCTGCACTATGATTTCTTTGGTGGTGTGTTACCAGGATCATTCCAGATTGATGTAGCTGGTAAAATAAGCTTGTCCCAGATCCTCACAGGAACAAAGTCCTCATTAGGCCCGTCCAAATGGGAGGTATTTATCCAGGCCAGTGAGACTGCAGGACTAAATGATCTGCAGGGCACAGGGTGTACACTGCCTGTTAAGGAAACCAGTGTTCAAACTGAAATACTACTGAAGACAATGCTGAAAGATTGTATGTAAAAAAATTATTAAATAAATAACACAGTGTTAGTCTAACAAAGGTCTTTCCAGTCAGGATGCGTTGCTAAAGCTATCAGGTCTCTCATTTGCATAAAGCTGAACTCTAGTTAACTTTGTTTCATTGCCAACAACCACTATTAATCATTAAGTCAACTAAAAAAAAAATCTAGTTTTGCTTCTACGCTGGTTTGCTCATTGGTGCCAGCTTTGTGAGAATTATCTGTGATTTTCCATGAGTCAAGGAAGAACAGCTGGAATGAAGTCAACAGGCCCAGACATGGATGCAAGAAATCAACATAGGCCCACTCTCCATGTGCTGGGCCATTATTATTATCATACCTGCAACCACACCACCACCAAGATTAAATAATGGCCATACACTCTACATTAGCCTTGTATTTTGGGAGGATTGTGAGTTCAAAGGCTTTTTATTAAATAAGCTGGTCTCAGGTCAGCGCTTGAGGGAGATTCAAGGCCATCTGTAATAGAAGACTAATGTTGCACCACAGCTGGTCTCAAGTAGTACAGTGGCTCCCTGAGTCACCAGTAGAAAGGGCCTGAGGGACGTCAGTAGCGGCTAAGTGGAGTCTGAACAGAGAAAACGCCTCCGATACTGCAGTCACACCACAGCAGCACAGCACAAGAAGCACCGATACTGAGCAACACTCGCATCACCAGACGCTTTCCCTGCCTGAATTTCTCTTGAGAAACGCCTGAAATGAAATGTCTTCTCATCCTACAAAATAAGTGCCTCCTACTTCACTTCTCAGGTCAGCGCTTGAGGGAGATTCAAGGCCATCTGTAATAGAGGACTAATGTTGCACCACAGCTGGTCTCAAGTAGTACAGTGGCTCCCTGAGTCACCAGTAGAAAGGGCCTGAGGGACTGAGCAACTGAGCAACACTCGCATCACCAGACGCTTTCCCTGCCTGAATTTCTCTTGAGAAACGCCTGAAATGAAATGTCTTCTCATCCTACAAAATAAGTGCCTCCCACTTCACTATTCACTGGCTCTTCCATCACTGCACGGTCATGTTCTCTGAAATGAGAGCATGTTTCGCTGCTCACAAGAGTCCTTACGATTAATGTGAAACTCCAAAAAGGACCCAAAACACCATAAAAATAACCATAAAAGAAGTCCATTCAAAGTCCATGTAAAACTACTAGTAATGTATTTACTGAACTACCATTTAAAACTAAAATTAGTTAATAGGCTAATTCAGGAGTTAAAACAGGAGTTCATGAGAGAACTGCAAGTGGTTCGTAAGTTGACGTAATGCAAATAATTAATTGAATCATAAAAAATAAACAAAAATCTTTAATTTTTTCCATTTAATTTTCTACATTTTTATTTTAAAAGTACAATTTATTATTACAAAAGTTTTTATAATTAGCTATAATAATATTATTGTAAATAAAATACAAAAAAATCAAATGTAAATAATATAAAATATAATACTATTACAAAAATGTTTTATTATTTTTATTATACCGTAAAGACCTTATGTAACCACATCCCTTTTCAGCACTGCGCTGATTGTCTTCTGTCTTCCGGTTTATATTTCCACAGCATGAAGGTAAGATCTTACAGATTTATGAATGAACCAATCATTTTAAAATTTCCCCGGTCTACTGACATTTTTGTTCATGATAACTTCTGTTAACTCTACAATAAGTACATCCACTTCACCAGTTAATTACTCTTTGACAGCAATTTCACAGAATATTTAAGAAAAAGTTTGGGAATTACTGGGTTCCATGTGAGTTGTTGGACCAACACTTGCATATCTAGGCTAATAGAAGGTATTGCCTAGGTAAGGGAGTGCAAGTTTTCAGAATACAACGGTGGACTAAAAGCACATCAGGGTAGCTGTTAAGATCTTCAGGGAGCTCATGGGACCGATGACTGCAGGCATGATCTCTATCAAAACAACATGCACAAGCCACGAGGAACTAAACAATCTACTCCACATCAAACCAAAAATCACAGCAACATAAGAACTACGGTACTTGTTTACTGGGTTGAAAAGTTGCACAAGAAATACAGAACCAACAAGCTACAGAACAATAACAGCGAGCTAATTAAAATTTCAAATTAGAGCGAGGCATCGCTCAAAGAACAAAAAAACATCACTGTCCTTTCCGTGACCTGTGTGGCCCCTATTAAACCGCATCCATATTTAAACATGCATGAACTTGAGAGAGCTTATCAGCGCTGCCCTGATCCCGAACCCATCACCTTCCTCTTTATGTAAGAGGGAGAACACACAGCACTGTCCACACATACTGTCCTCACAGACATTACTGTGGTTCACTGGGCTGCAGAACTGTCTACGGGCTGTTTAAAAACTTTTAGGCAGTGTGCTGGAGACAACAGCTCTCATATATGAACAGCACTGCACACAATATCCTCTGTGAAATGAGAAAACAAACAACAAAAACAATCTCATTACTTGTTAGTGCAATAAATGTTGCTGTGTTTCTCTAAAGCTTTTCAAATTAACCAGCCCTGCAGCGCACTAAACAGCTTGTGGATCTTGATAATGGCGTCACTAAGAAACTGTCCTCCTAAAATAGCACATTTTCAGAGAAAACAAAAACAACTTGTGAAGAAACACCCTGAGGGAAAGAAGAAATTTTCATTTCTGAATATTAACCCTTTACAAAAAAAGTACTATGGTAGTACCACGGGACAGTGACTGTTTTAGATGATACACTGATAGCTTGATACTAAATATTTATATTAGCTGTACATGGTATTATTTACACATTACTCCAAAGTATTTCAAAGAAGACAATGGTAAAATCCTGTTACTTTTTTTTTTTGGTTTGTTAATTTGGTTTGAAATTATGAATGACAGACATTCATATTTTGCTGTTTCTAAATTTAGATATTCCACCTAAATTATATTTAACATCTTCTATTCTTCAGGAAATCTCAATGCATTATAAATGTTGTGGTAAATCCATTTTACTCGCATTCAAAACGATCATTTTGAATTTTTTTGTGCGTTTTATTTTTCATTTATTTTGACAAAATAGTGCAGAATTTTAATATTGGCACAACATTAAAATAATTATCAGCTTATTGGTGTAAGGATAAAAGAAACTCAGATACTTTGATCTCCTGAGAAACAAACAATACACTGGCATCTTCAAGACACCCCACAGAGGGGTGGTGGAGGAAACGCCTCTCTCACATATGCATTGGTTCCTCCTCATCCCCTTCCTTCCCCTCACCCATCCTTCTCTTCACCCAGCTCACTCAGAATGGTCAAGAATATAATGTTCTATATGAATGCAAATAAGATTTACAGTCATGTTTGGTTTCATTTGAATAGTTTCAGGGCGATTGGTACAATGGTCTTAATCTTACAAAAAGATAATACAGATTCTAAGAGTTAAGAGATACTTTGATTACCATAGCGAGCAATTCCATGCAAATTACCTTCTGTTCCCATTGAGGTGTAAAACCACCAATGTAGGTAACTGTAGGGGGCTAAACAGACCTACTATTTAAAGTATATTAAATAGTATTAGCCACAAACTTCTGAATAAGGATTAGAATGGCGAGTTTTGTGATCGTGGAGCCCACGCTGTGAGGCATCCTAAGCGACATAGATTCCTAATGAATGAGTACAATACAAAGTAAAGAGTTAATTAGAATAATCGAATGTCAGAATAATCAGAGACCCACAAACAACCGATCTCCCTTTCAACCTAAATTTGAGGTCATACTAAAATGGAGTCAGATTGAGTTCAACCTAAATTGAATAACTCTGCACGCTGAAAAGACCGAACAGGCAAGAAACCTTCATCCGCCACTGGATACCTTCTTTGGGCCATGTGCGCGGACCTTACATTGGTATTGGGCAGAACTGTAGTGCAACCCTACAAATCAGTCAATGTTGCTGTGCAAGCAGACTGACAAAAGCCACTGAAAGTCAAGCAGTATCGACGGGGTCTGACTATGACAACCCGAACATTTCCTTTTTCCTCACAATAGAATGCCACACAAGCCTACACTTAGAGGTCAGAGGAAACTTTCCAACTGCTTGGAATATACACTCAAGAAGTGAAGTGGGTGCCATCTTGACACAGTGAGAAAGGAATGTGGACAATCCTTGCCAACAAAACGGAAACCTTAGAAAGGCAGAACAACTACAGCTGATATCCACGCGCGGTTTTGTTTACTACACACATACTGAAGTGCCTGACGCTCGCGGTGTTTTCAGCATCTGCCGTCTCACTAAATGAGGACATAAATACATGAACAACATCTCCAGAAGTGCTCTGAGAGTTACTTCATGAGCATTTGACCGTTTCATTTGAGTAAAACTAGCATCATATCATATACATAGGCTACCTCATGGCAACACGTCAAAATAAAAGTTCCATTTAGCTACTACTACTACTATTACTACTACATCAATTATTACAACTTTTCTTTAAAAGAATAATCACACAATACTCTATTTTAACATCTTCCATGTTTTAATTTTAATAGTAAACCCCTTTGTTTGCCAAAAATAGAGTTTAACTCTCATTTGATTAAAAGATCATTTAAATTAATGTTTTATGCCTTCATTTGCACTGCACTGTAAATTAAAACTAATGGAAATTACTGTCACATAGGCCAAGATTAAGATACTGTCACGTAGGCTAAGATTAGGATGACAAATTTAGACATTTTAATAGGCTTTTGAACCAAGTTTGCCTAAAATAGGCTATTAGTGTTATAGTTTCATTAAAATAGTTGCGGTCTTCTTAACAACTTCTACAATGGCGCTATGAAGACAATTAAATTATTTACACTTATTATATACATTGTGCCTTTTTAAGTTAATCAATTGATGTGCATTAGATGATGTATTGAACAGTCACCTCTTGTAGGTTAGGATTTAGTCATCAGAAAAGAATCAATGAAGAATTATGAGAGGTTATGCTATTACTAGGGATGTGTGCGACGACTAATTTGACTGAAGTTTAAACGAAAGTTTTTATATCCGACTAGTCGACTAGTCTAAAAGCAAGAAACCCCCCCCAAAAAAACCCCTCTGTGCGTGCGTGTAGCATATATAATAGCCTATATTTGAAATACTTAATCTATGAATCACACTGTCAAATCCCTCAATGAATTCCGTTTGCTCGCACACTTGCCTCGCGTCATCATCATTTCATTTTAGGCGGTTGTTAAAAAGAAAAAAAAACAAGAAGAGCATACACTCAACGTCGGCCAAAGCATAGCTTATTTATTCAAATCAGCTGGGGAAATGCAGAACAATGGAAAATCAATCAATAGCCTGACAGAATTCTTAATCTTCATATAAGGTTAGCCAACATATTAAAACAAGTCAAAAACAATGGGTAAAAACAATTTATCAAGAAATCGCATTAAAACAGCTTTTAAAACGTACTTAGTGTAGGCTATATCGTCTAAAAACAAAATGCAACAATGCCCATTTTACTTACTCAGACCATGCGTTATTTGTTCAGTGAAATTATCAACGTGGTCTGGTGAAAGACAGGACCTGAGGCGATTAACAAGAAAATTCCTGCACTTGAAAAAAATGCGCTCGGCAGGAACTGAAGACGCAGGCACGTAGAGATAATGAAAAGCAAGCCGATAAGAGTTTCAGAAAGCGCCTGGACA